TAGCCTTGCCATTCTCCGCACCAAGATACAAACGCGTCTGAGACAAGTGAAGTCAATCCCTCGACAGCCGTTCTGCTAGAAACGGTTACACTATTACTCCTCCTGTCCTGGCCTATCTATCTACTCTTTACCCTCTTATCCCACCCCTGCCATATCACAACTTCTCACTTGTTTACATTACAATCATCAAAATGTGTGCCCTTTTGTGGCAAACCGGGTGTGGCCTCTTCACACTTGGTATTTACCCCTACCCCTCTCTTCCGATGGGCTTATCTCACTCGGGCCTCCAATCCGGATCCTTTCATTGTCTCGTAGATCCGTTCCTTATCTTTCTGGTTGACCGATTTTCACTCGCGTTCAGTCCCTCTGTGCATTTCACTACTGGCGCTATTTCTCAAGGCCCTAGAAGCACATACACTGCTGCTTCACTGAGCGGAGCGCTTTAGCTCTGAATCCCATGCTTGCAGATATTAGGCCTTCCCTACACTGGTCGTCTCTTTGATTTTCATGCAGAGCCTCTGATGTTCCTTGATTCGTGTTCTAATTTTTCGCCCTGTTTCGCCAATATATTTCTGTCCACAGCCGCCGCATGATATACAGTAAACTCCCGAACAGTCCAATTTGTCTACCCTTTCATGTCGCGTTGGTAGACTGGTGAAAGTGGACTCAAAAGTGGATATGCCTACCTTCATTTGAACTAACTCAAAAGCTAGGGCCATTACTAAGGAAATTGAATATTTAAGTGGCCATGAAGTATAAAACAACACTTCACCAGTCTACCAACGCAACATGAAAGGGTAAACAAATTTGACTGTTCGGGAGTTTACTGTATATCATGCGGCGGCTGCGGACACAAATATATTGGCGAAATAGGAAGAAAAATTAGCACAAGAATCAAGGAACATCAGAGGCTCTGCAGGAAAGTGGATACTGAAAGATCATAACTAGCGGAACACATCGCACGGACTGGACACGAGATCATTTGGAAAGCAACAGAAAGGAAAGCTCCATATGGTGACAGCACAAGGAAGCGGAAGATTAGGGAGGCCATTGACATCCTTGGGGA